AGTAACTACTAAAAAATTAAAAAAAGAGTAAAAAAGATTAAAAACTGAAGAAAAGTTACTTTTGTTAGGTAAAAAAAAAATAAAACAAAAACTTTTTTTTTTTTTTGGAAAATATGAAATTTTTTTAAGTTATTTTAATTATTTAATTAGGTGCTGGGGAATCTGGCAAAAGCACAATATTAAAACAAATGAAATTAATTCATGCGGCAGGATTTAACCCTGCAGAGATAGAAACATTTAGATCAATTGTGTTTCTTAATATAATGCAATCGATGAAATTAGTAATTGAGGCAATGGAATATCTTAAAATACCACTTGATAATAGTGATAATATGGTAAATAATTGAATCTATTAGTATGATATTTATTATATATTATTAGTTTATATCATTTACTATTATTACCATTTTTTTAGGAATATATTACATTATTCAATGAGACACCAAGTATTACCAAAGGTCAGCCATTTCCGATTATTTATTTTGAACCTTTAAAATCACTATGGGCGGATCCTGGTGTACGACAATGTTATGAAAGGGGACATCAATACGCATTACATGATAATATGAATTAGTAATTATAATTTATAATAACTATAAATTTATTTAAATATTTTAAATAAATAATAAATAATAATAATATTATTATTATTACACATATAAAATAAGTTTTTTTGATTCTTTGGATAGAGTATTTTCTTCATCATATATTCCAACTGATCAAGACATCCTAAGATGTAGAATGAAAACATCTGGTATAGTAGAAACTGTATTTCATTTAGGTCCATTAACATACAGGTAAATAAATTTTATTATTATGAGCATTACTATTATTTTTTGCATATTAATTAAATAATCAATTTATATGTTGCAATAATCAAAAAGAATGTTTGATGTTGGTGGACAAAGAACAGAAAGAAAGAAATGGATACATTGTTTTGAAGATGTTACAGCAGTATTATTTTTAGTTGCCATTAGTGGATATGATCAATGTTTGGTAGAAGATAAAGATTCAGTATGTTGTTGAAATTTATATATATTTTTTAGAAAGTTTTTTAAAATTTTTAATAACTTTAATTTTTTAATATTTATTCTAAAGAATCAAATGCAAGAAGCATTAATGTTATTCAATTCAATTTGTAACTCACAATGGTTTGTAAATACATCAATGATATTGTTTCTAAATAAAATAGATATTTTTAGGGAAAAGATTAAAGTTTCACCTGTCAAAAAATATTTTCCTGATTTTCTAGGTAAATTTTAATATTTAATTATATATTATTATTATCTCCAAAAAAAAAAATTTTTTGTTAAATGGAAATTTTACGTTTTTAGGTGATAATCAAAATTTTAAACAGACAACACATTTTTTTAAAAAAAAATTTCAAAGACTTAATCGTAGTCAAAAAAAAGAAATTTATCCACATTTCACAGATGCAACAGACACAAATCTATTAAGACATATAATGGGAAGTGTAACTGATATTATTCTAACACAAAATTTACGAGATTTAGTACTATGATTTATATATAAATATATAATGCATAGTTATATATAATATTTAAAAGTATTTATTAGTAATGATATAATAACTTTTTAATGATTCCTTCTCTTGTAATTATAATTTTTTCCCTCTTTTCAATTAATTTAAAATTTTTAGTAAATTATTTAAAGATTATA